AAGAACTACTTTCAATAAGTTTTAGATCCATTTCCCTGAATAATTAAAAAAGGTTTTAAAAAAGCCTGAAGTACATAAAAAGTTTCCTATTTAGGAAAGATTTTTCACATTTTTTTCCAGACAGACATCTACATGCTACTGCACATTCACAGGTATGTTTAGTAAGAAGCATATTTGAGAGTAAAGTTACAGATTATAAGCCTTCTTTATGAGCAGATTGTCTCCAAAGGAATACAGTTTTAAAATGTTAATGCATTTTCATGCTAGTTAAAAGTACTTTTTATTAAACACAAAGAGAAAATACTCTCAGTCCAAAAGTCCTGTGTATAAAAACAGCACATCTGTCTTTTTTCATGTTTATTTTTCCCTTGTTCTTTCAGGAAGCAGAACTATAAAACATCCCCCAAAATTTTTTCACTCAAGCAATGTATTCCATCTTCATGGCATTCAAGAAGCAGAATAGCAAGACTCTTACCACAGAAATTAATAATTTTTAAAACTTCTATGTCACAAGGTCATTATAAAAGCCTATGTCACAAGGGATATTATAAGAATAAGTAAGTAGACAAATACTGGCTGGAGATAAGAGAATATGGAAGAAAACACACAACTTCAAAATGCTACTCCTTCCATCAAGTGTGCTCACAAGATCAGAGGAAGCACTAAAGATGCTCTGTTAAAAAGGGTTTGAAGGTAAGATAATCTGTTGCCCAATAACAGTCTCTTTACACACTTTCAGGAAGCAATTTCTGGAAAATAATTTTCTTCCAGAACTATTCATTCACATGTTAATGTCTCTCTCCTCCCCATGCCACCCTCAAATAAACTGGAATTTCAAAGGTATTTTAACCCTTAAACTTCACATTATTTCACACTCAGCATGAATCTATATCATAACCTGTAGAATTAATAGTTCTTATTTGTGAAAAATGAAGTTTTGTTTATCGGAAATAATGTCCCTCCTTACAAAATCAGGAAAGAAAGGGAGTACTATTCCCTTTTCACCAGCTGCTTCTGAAACCACTTTTTAGTAGTCACATGCTATTAATTCACATGTGCCCATATACATGAGGAGAACAAGTGGAAAGGCTACTTAATACAACTACATGCAAAATAAACAGTCCATACTCGGGTATAAAGCTATGAGACAAATTACAAGATGTTTTGTGTGAATAAACAAAAACATCATGACAGAAAGACAACTCCATCATGATTAAGAAAGCCTGCAATTCTGGATTTCATAGAACCATAGAATGTTGTGAGTTGGAAGGGACCCACGAGGATCATCGAGTCCAACTCCTGTCCTAGCACAGGACAGTCACAAGATTCAGACCATGTGTCTGAGGGCCTTGGCCAAATGCTTCTTGAGTATTGTCAGGCTTGGTGCCATGACCACCTCCCTGGGGAGACTGTTCCAGTGCTCCACCACCATCTGCGTGAAGAACCTTTCCTAATGGCCAATCTAATCATCCCCTGGCACATCTTCCTGCCATTTCCCCTGTTCCTGTCATTGGTCGCCAGAGAGAAGAGATCAGCATCTGCCCCTCTTCTTCCCCTTGTGAGGAAGTTCTAGACCACGATGAGATCTCCTCTCAGTTTCCTCTTCTCCAGGCTGAACAATCCAAGCGATTTCAGCCTCTCCTTGCACAATTTCCCCTCTAAACCCTTCATCAATTTTGTGTCCCTCCTCTGGACACTCTCCAGTAGCTTTATGTCCTTTTTATACTGTGGTACCCAAAACTCCACCCACCCAGTACTCAAGGTGAGGCCGCCCCAGTGCAGAGCAGAGCGGGACGATCCCCTCCCTCGACCGGCTCACAGTGCAGTCAGTGCTTGATGCACCCCAGGACACGGTTGGCCCTCCTGGCTGCCAGGACACACTGCTGGCTCATGTTCAACTTGCCACCAATCAGAACCCAGAGGGCTCCAGACAACTGGAACTGCTAGTACAGTGAGTAATTACTTATCAGAGAAACCTCCTATTTGCTCACAATCACTATTCTTCACATTTCTTCCAGCAATAACAGCTATTTTTATACCTCCTACGATGGACTCTTCTGCCACTTTGCACAATGAACGTACACCTCCTTCAATTTACTCTCTCTGACAAAAGTACAACCACTACCCATAAATATCTATAGGGATAGATCTGCCATAAGATTTTTTGTACATCCTGTTCTATGTAGTAAGAATTAGCTGCTTCCTGAATTTACCTCTCGGTCCATCAACTTTCCACCACTATGTTTTCCAGCTGTTCATGTGACAAAATTTCTTATAATCTACACTTGACAGTAAACATGTAAGTAATGAAAAATCAGTAAACCAAATTGCCTCAGATTACATGAGGACAGAATTACATAATTTTGCAACATTTTCCTAAAATAATCTTGAGCTGCATAACTTTCTGGGCTTGAGTGCCCAGTTCCTGCAAAGATGGGAGAAGAAAGTATGCTGCAGAAAGACAAGGAATCAGCAATTTTTTTAACTTCTCTCTAAGAAGATGGGAGCATGAGTACTACTTTCCTCATGATGAGTCTTTCCCACAAAATCCATTAAAATGAGTCACAAGTGGGGTGCCTGATAAAGTCAGACAAGACAAGAAATGGTAGGGTTCTACACCTGCTGGAGGACACTTTCACTTTGAAATAAAAGCAGGTTACTTCAAAAACAGAGGACGTCTATACAAGTTTCTTCAAAAATATTGAAGATGGCTAGTAACTCATCAGTTCTTGTTTTCATCTTCATGCAAAGAATCAGAGATATTCTCCCTTACAGTACTTCAATGAGGAAACAGAGAAAGCAATAAAGTTGTCGCAACCAACAAACAAGATTACAAAGATGGAATTATATCCAAAGTAAAGCAGACTAACTTTGACTTACCTACATTCTTACACTAAACACAGTTCCCCAATCTTAGTTACATTTGCTAGGACATTTTCCCCAATAAATAATCCCATAAGGGTTCCTACCTTTGAGAAGCATTGCATATTTTCTGCGGTCTGAACTAGTAATTACAGCTTTATTCTCACCTCCACTACACAGCTATTTTGCAATTTTATACAGTTACACCTTGGTTTTCAGAGCTGGGTACTGTTCCCAGCTTGTAGGCTGCCATGTCTCTGTTAGGTAAGCAATTAAGATCTCTGCTTTCCACTTACCAGCTATTTCACAATGCCAGTGTATGCTGACAATTCACAACTACTTACAAAGAATCAGACATTATACACTGATGACTTTCTGCAATTAGCAAGCATATAAGACTCAATATTCTGACTAGACATTCTGCAACTTAATTTTCCATCTATGAACAGGAATAGACCATGTCATGCCTTGCAGAGAGTTATCTCTAAAGATTCCCAGTTGCAGAGTGTTCATACTACAGCATAAAAAAATGTTCTATATGAATGGAAAGTATTGGAAAGTATGTTTCCCTAGAGAGGGCCTGTCCTGGTTTCACCAGGACAGAATCACAGGCCAGCCATGGTGTGCAGGCCGTGAGCAGTTTCCAGTCAGCCAGGTGCTCAGGCTGGGAGGGCCAAAAGCCAGGGCAGCTGACGCGAGCCAGCCAACAGGTGTATCCCACACCTTAGAGCTCATGCTCATTAGAAAGGGGGAAGTTTGCTGAGGGTGGGGAAGCCTCCCCTCCTCTTCAGGGTCACCATCTCTGGACTGAGTATAACTCTGTATATTTTTGTTTCATTAAATCTGTTTTCACTTCAACCCACGGGCTTCCTTTCCTTTTCCCAACTCCACTCCTCAGCTGGGGAGAGGGTCATTGGGTGATAGAGCAACTGCTATAGTTTAGCCCCAGATACAGGCAAAACATAGACAGAGTCTTTAAAGAAGAGCAGAAAATTTAGAAAGCTACCCGATACCTAACTAGAGAAACACTATCCAGTCGATCTTGAATTTTTAAAAGTAAACGAGTATTAAAATTCATCACAAAGTACATTCAAGGCAGTATTATGAAAGTGGTATGGGCATGTTCATTTTGTATTCCCTGACCTTCAGACATGACTTTTCAGCTTAAATACTATTTTATTGTAGTTTAAGCATAGCTTTAAAATCACTGTTACAAACTCCAAGCTGTCTTTGACAGAAAAAAATGAGTGCACATAAAGAAAACAACTATTAGTAGTTCATTTTATAAAATAAACTTCTACATTAGTGAAAAATTGAAAAAGTAACTAACTACATGACCTATGAGAAACTATTCTAGCAATTAAAGGAACATTTTCAAAGGAAAGCTACTGTAAGATTTTTTTTTTTCTGGGGTATAAGTGGTTTAGGGAAGATTTGTACTCATTTTCTTAGTTTAAGAAGCTTCACCTCCTGCTAACTGGCTATACAAAGTTTTGTGAAAGGCACACAAATATGTGACAAGTTTTAGGTATTGCTCACCTATAAAAGCAAAAAGTGATAACTGGATCACTGGGGAGACCATTATAAGCATATTTCTGGGTGCAAAGCACCAAGGGGAGCGAAATAAGAAATTCAAACTTTAAAATGCATTTAAACTTTTTTAAAAAGTATTTAAGAGGCTTAAAACTGGTAAGCAGCAATATATACTGTACCAATGGAAGTGAAGTAAAGTAAAACTTAGACTGAAGCTATTTAAATATCATAGCAACTTTAAATAAAAATACGTGATTAGTAGATTAGCAGTTTGGTCATTCACAGTGTTTATTCAATTAGAATGCACTGGGAATACTCTAAGACTACTTAGTTTAGGCTACACCCATATGCACATAAATTCTGTGATATTCAAGATTTATTAAATAGTCTAAGGATTTCACAGACACACTTTAAAGACTAGAACAAAAAAAGTCTTACAATACTAGAAAAAAATATACATTAATTCAGTGACTCATGGGGCTTTTTTCCGCTTTAAGTAACTAAGGACACTTTATTAAATAGATTTATACTTCTAAATCTGAGAACTTCTATGAAAAATTGATCCTGGATTACATTACAGTAAAATGCATGACACTGCTTTTTACCTCCAGATCCTAGCTGCTTGTAGAATCTGTATTCCAAATGTAGCTGTGGTGCTCTCGACTTCATTGGCTCCTGATTTAAAAACAAAAACAACATTTAAAACAAAGCCTCTCTGCCAAAGCCTAAAAACCAATACACTAACCTACTACCAGCCAAACTAGCCCTACTGCTTCCAAGCCACATGGAAAGTTTGAATGTTTCTTCCAAAATTACTGGTAATTAAGAAACTAAGGAACCAAGACTTCCGTCAGGTAAGACTAGAGCATACAGGGACATTTACATCTTGTATTGCCCCATGGGACTGGGATCCAACATGCAAATCCAATCACAGATCCACAATGGAAAAAATAATTTGTTTCTCCTGAGCACGTGGGTCACGTGTCTTGCAGCTCTCAAGACGGGGTACTGATACGCAGCTTAACAGGTTGAAAAGACTGTCCACACACCTGCTAACATGAAAAATGTATCTCGATTAAAAAAAAAAAAAAGTTTTATCCTAGGATCTTGACCAAAAAAATACCAAATCCTTCCACCAAATGGTGACAGTTCATCAGAAAGTAAGTAGCACCATTCTAAACTATAAATAAAAAAAAACACCACCAGAATAAGTTCATAACTCAAATCTTTCTTTTCCTAACATAATTTAAGAAACTTAATGAAATCTTCGTACTGTGTTCTACATACTAACGTGGCAAGGTCTCACAGAATGAGGTGACATGAAATTAAGCCCAGGAACACACAAGCAGCCTAAATGAAAACCCTAACTACTTGAGTACTTCCCTTTGCAACGTAAAGGTACTTTATTATAAGATTTTTAATCTCCTAGAGCATCTTTTAGAAGACATGCCTCATTCCTTGTGATTTGTAACATATTCAAATGCATCAGTGATAATGTGGACATTAATTGTGCATTATTTCTACACAGGCTGCTCTTACTAAAATTGCAGCACATAATTAGTAAAGCTCTTACTACACTTACAAGCAATAAACAATACTGCTGGATGTCAATTTTCAGGAGAAGTTTGGGAAAAGTGTTCATCTCTTTCTTCACACCATCTTCTCCAGAAATTAACAGTTTATTAACCTGTGTTGTTTCCTAGTGGTAAAGCTAGGCCATAGAAACCACAAGCCATTGTGCAATCATGGCAAATTTAGTCCTTTTCCTCAACCCATCTCCCTCCATCATTAGAAGGTCTCAAATTGCCATGACTGCTGTAGCCAATGTCCCAGGCAGGTTAAACTTATGCACTTGATTTCGCCAAGATGTCAAAGGTTGAGGACTAAAAGTAGAAAGGGCCGATGTAAGAGTTTCTACAGAAAACAAATAGAATTTAATATATGCTTTTTATGCTCCAGAGCATTCATCCTAGCTGAACACTGCAATTCTTCACAAATTAGTAAGAACTTTATTAAACAAAAAGGTGTTGATCCTTCACAAATTGAATTACTAAGCAAGAATAACTGGACCACTAAAAGATCCCACTTTCAGTTTATGAGAACACATGAAATTTATTGTCAAATATTAAAAGACAAAACACGTTACAGTAAATGTGTACCTAAGCAAATCAGTGCAACTATCAGTGCAACTAGTACCACTAGTACTCAGCTTTCAGAGGTATAAATAAATCCATTATCAAGCATGTTACTAAAACATTTTAACCTTTTACAACACCACACAAATTTAGCTACTAGTTTTCCTGCAGTAGTATTATACAAGTCTGCTAGCTACAAAACATATAACTCTCTATATGGTCTCTAATTAAAGCTTATAATTCTGCCTGCTAAGAGGAGAATATTTTAGTCCATGAAACTCTGCATGTCAGTTGAATATACTAAAATAAGACACTGGCTTACAGGCAGTTTGATTTTGTTCAATTACAGAGTTTTGCCTTAATTGATAGTACATTAACAACTTAATCACCACTCCATGTTATAAGACGCTCTCATAACAAGGATGATAAATAGTTTGTATGTATTAAATTTATGTGACTAGACAAAAAAAAAAAAAGTCCTAGGGAAAAGAAACAGCTTCCAGTTTTTGACACACACAGCTACACCTTTTCAA